AAAAAGATCAATTGCCTTTCACCACGACTCATTCATCAGTTGATCGTTTTTCCGGATGCAGTCATGATTCGTACGGTGCTGTGCATGCAACATTTAGATGTTCATGCGATAGGAATTTATCGTGAGCTAATTGAAAAATTAATTTACTAAAAGTGCTGCTCTACGGTGATCTCGTCATTTATTCATTTCTTGAGTAACTTTAGATATTTGAATTGTGCGGAAAATATATCTCATTCGCTAATGAATCACCGGGAATGCTGTCGATAACCAATCAATAGCGATTGGAAACTTCTCAAATATTTTCTCTATAATAATGTAAAGTGCAGTTACTCTGATTAAAATCCTAGCAGCATTTGCATGCAGAATTCGCATTATCATACGAATTAAGAGATAGAAGAACGAGAGTAAAGAATTAAATTTCGCAGTCGCTACGATGTCCCCATTGCCAGTCCAGACAAATTATATCTTATTATCAATTCGCTTGAGTACGGATATGAACAATGCTTAAACGACTAACTTTATTACGAACACATTGTAGTACTTTTCACTTATTTTTCATTTATAATTGAGTGAAGAGTCATGGATTTAATTAACCAAATTATTGACGAAAATGTACTATTGATTTAATCGTACTTGACGAATGTACATGCAGTTGATGAAATACTGAGACGATGAGGAGAGGAGGGTTAAGCTATCGGGCTAGAAATGTGCTAATCACCTATTAATGTAGGTCTAACCTTTGCGTACTCGCACGCGATCTGATTGACCCCCCCTTATCTCTACACCTTAGCGCCGGAGAGTAAAGATCTGATGGGTTCGAAGATACATGAGGGAGTTTAGCTGTTATCGGTCACTCGCTACTAAGGGATTTGGCTCCTTATTACGACATTAATTATGTAAAAGCAATAGAAATTGATAAAAAGATCTGAATGGTACTCGAAGTGCACGATCGCACCTGTGGTGGTGAAATTACGCGACGGCGGCAAGAGCACGCGATCCTGAATAATTGCGCAAAGCCAACGTCTTCCTCTTCGCGCGGCTTGCTGCTACACTCCCAATCATTATATTTCCCAATTCTAGTGCGCGAGTAAGCTAAAGCTCGGGTCGGGAGCCTCGAGGCAATTCTCCACGCGGCTGCATAATGGAGCCAATTAATAAGAATGTGTACCGAGGCCAAGACTCTCTTGCGATCGGTAGGTGTACGCGCGTGTGTGCATGTGGGTACCGAGGGATAGTGAATGTTTAAGCGCAAAGCCCCATTACGCTCGATAGCACTAATTCGCAAGCGAGCTACCTGGCAAATTCGTCGTGGCTGGCAGCAGGTCTAAGAAAACGGAGAAAATTGTCGTCAAGCAGTTTAGCTGAGATAATCAGCTTCGACAATAGTTGGGAGGGCGAGTGCGCTGACAAGGTTAAGTCTACGGCGGCGGCGGCGGCGGCAGCGGCGCTGACCTCCGTAATTACGAGAGCATGCAAGCTAGATTAGGCTTTCTAGGCGGAAGGAGAGAGAGGAGAGAAGTAGCGCGAGATGCCCGAGGGAATACTGCAGTAGCAGCGGCAGCGGCAGCGGGCAGCGGCAGCGGCAGCGGCAGCGGCAGCGGCAGCGGCAGCGGCTCTATTTCTCATGGAAAGAAAAGCGAAGCCAAGGCGCCTGTGTGCTATATTTGGCAGCAGCAGCCCCTTGTAAGACGCTGCATAATTCATGGGCCGCAAGTAATACGTTTGCTCAAAGCTACATGCGCGCATGCGCGCCCACGTCTGCCGGGGGATTCCAAGCGCCCGCCTACCCTTAATGGCAGTGTATCACATTAGAGAGAGATGTTCTTGCTTAGAGAGAGACACTAGCAGGTTTATAGGACATGCCCGAGATACGCCGATTTACCACGAATTATACAGCGATTTACGAAGCTCGTGCCACTTAGGTGCGCGTGCACGCGCGATATAACGTGTCCGTTAGATGCGGCGGTGAACAATTCGATCGTCTGAAATTAACCAACATCTCGCGATCGGACGAGTGAAAACTGGAGAAACAGATGATATCCCAACATTCACAGGACGAAGGCTCAGCGGCAGCGTTAAACCGGGATTTAGACCGGACGGAAAGAAAGAGAGGTACAGGGGCGCAGGGCTGGCGAAAACGCGATTAAAGATACGCTTTCTTATACGCGAGCCTAGGAGGAAAATGGATTTCTGATACGCGTAATGCCACCCTATTTGCTTCTATTACGCCTAAGTCCTCGACGTAAGCTTCTCGGCCTTATAGTATACACTTCGACCTCCCCAAGGACTATATCTTTAGACGCTGAAAATGTATTTACGACGTCGAGTGCCACTTGACAAGTAGCTCGACGCGCCAGATGTTTCTTTATGAGGAAAATGTTGCGCAAGGAAGAGTTTCTTTTTTTTTTTTTGCATCGGATAGTGCGACAGACATTCGCGCGAGTGATACCCTTGAACGTCTATTTTTCACGAAAATATACGAGCTTGTTAATAGATTGTTGGCTCAATAATTCAAAATGTTTTTAGACAAGAAAATATTTAAATAACGAAAGTTAAATGCCGGAGTTGAACATGATTACGTGTATAGCGTGCTCACGCTTCGTTCTCGTTTTTCACTGGACGGCGGTGGCGGTGGCTCGTTAATTGGTACACGGAAGCACAAACAGAAACTCGTCGGCGACCGATGATTTATTGCCAGGTATGATTGAATTTATTGGAACACGGACACGTGTTGCCCAGGCAGTTCGTCGTTTACGCGTTTTTTTTCTTTTTTTTTTCATTTTCGCTAACGTGTTGAAAAAAATTTTTTTTCCCTCCTTTGTTTCACCTTCGCGTACGCTCGTTGCTCTCTTCGCTCTTTTTTTTTTTCTCTTTTTTCATGAATACAAAATATAACAACGAACGAGAGTGAGATAGTAAAGGTTTTCTTTTTGTTTTATTCGCGTTATATAGTATAAGTGAAAATCTAGGCAGGTCGCTCTTAATTTCGCAAGAAATGAATCGCTTACGGGATAAAAATCTAATAAACACTGCCTGCGAGCGAAAATCAAGTTTATTCCCATCAGGGGGGTTTGCTTCGATGTATCGATGTCTTTCGCGCGCGAAAACGAAATCTGGCTCTCGCATTTGAATCAGCCCGGTGACGCAATCCATTAGGAACTCTAACAGCCAATATCATGAGCAAGAAGAATATCGCTTGCTATTAGGGGTTTGGGAGGTACATATATATAAGAGACGCGCACGCGTCTCTCCATCGTGAAATTCTCTTTTATCTGCCAAGCTTGATATCGACTCTGACAACTGCAGCCGGATAGGAAAAGGCAATGAATTTTTTAAACAAATCTTCGATAAAAATCGCAATTTGTTTTTCGATATCACGTATTTACTGATTGAAAGAAACTTTTTCAATTCAAGTTACAAAGTTTATTCCCGAATAATTTTCCTTCGTCCCGCAAAGCCTTTACTCGTGCTAGCGCGCGCGAGAACGATCCACAGCTCGTGTACGGCACGCTCCGTCGTCGACCAAATGGAATTTTGCGAACACGCGTAGATAGAACTCTCCCCCGCTTATACGAAGCATTGAGATTCGCGCCTCCGATAAGGACGCACAACAATGCAACCCCGCCTCGATAGAATCTTAATGCCCTCCTAAAAGCAAACGGAATTAAATGCGACACGCGAATGGGGCGAAAGAAAACAAAGAAAGAGAAGAAGAAGCATAGCGAGAGAAATGTCGCTTACTTCTCAAGACAAATTGAAAGTATGCGTTTGATTTTTACCGGACGCGTAAAGAGGGAGGATGACAATAGTTACTTGCTCTCTCTGGGGAGTACTCAGACGGCACTGCACCATTATTTTCGATCTCGTGGTTGTACAGTGCAAAAGAAAGTGTATATAGTTCGAAACGAAAAATTCGCGTGTATTATTGTCCGTCGTACTTTTTTTTATAGACAAAAAAAGAAGGCAAAAAATTCGTCGGGAATTCAATATCACCCTCCGATATTCTACATAATTCATGAAAATTGAGCCGCCGGCTTTTTAGGCTGACTCTCTTTCTCTCTCTCTCTCTCTCTCTCTCTCTCTCTCTCTCTCTCTCTCTCTCTCTCTCTCCCTCGCTTTTCTCTCTGCGCTTCTTTGCGGAGCTATTCTTACTCGCGCACACACATTTTTACCCTTTTCTACGAGGGCGAGAGAGAGAGAGCACTCTACCCTCGTCGACGTCGCTGCTGGCAAATCCACGATGTATGTGTGTATGTATGTGGTGTGTTGAGATAGGTGAGAATGCTCGAGAAATATTCTTTCTTGTCTCATTTTCAGTTATATTTTTTTTGTCTTTGTTTGAAAAAATGTTTGTTGAATCTCGATATTTCTATGAAAATATTATTGCGTTAAAGTGATTTGTATTTTACAATTATTTCAAACGATTAATAGATGAAACTAAAATTTCATCTTGCTCTGAATGAAACATTTGATTATAAAATAGTAAAATGATCCTTAAAATTTGTAGTTTTCAAAAGAGCGGTCAAAAAATAGTTTAAAGTATATAGTAGTAAAAACTTGGAATAGAATATAACAAAAGAAATTGCAAACAAATAACAACGTAAGAACCCTGATTATATTGATAAGTCACACAAAGCCATAATAGGCAAACCACCCATTCATAGGTTTACGCATCTAAGTTTAGTATTTGGCCAAAAGCTCAACACACAGACATACAGAGTAACGCATACACCTCCCTTTGGTGGCGAGTCCTAAGGCACAGCACGAGTCTGACTTTAATCTAGAGAAATACTGAATAATACAGTCAGACGGAAAGAGAAGAGAGTGAGTAGGGCCACGATTGGCTCATGTACTATTCAAACTCACTTTCGCGCGTGTACCCTAATGCCATCGCGGGGCCCTTTTAATTAAGTTACGTTTAAGCAGCATTAAGCATCTTGTCAACCGTTTAAGATGCTCGGCTCATCAAACTAATTCTTGGCTTCTTTGCTGTGTTATAGGTTCTTCCTCAAATTTTTCCTTAAGTGCAATCAGAATTGTCTGAAAAATGCTGGAAATCCGAGGGACATGAGACGTTTTCAGGTGAGTCAGTATATCATAAAGAATATCACGTTAGATGTGTAAGAAAAAAACTTAGAAGTTATGCAAATCGCGCAAAATGTCACAATTCACAAAGATGATGCACGCAATTCATTTATTCTATTAAGTGAAATCGTATTTTAAAAGCACGCACAATAGCAAGAGCTTTATTATCACCAAGAAGCTTCTTGCAAAGCTCTTGCAAGTTTGGCGTAGCAATAGCAGTAACAGCAGTATCGTCCGAGGCAGCACGAATGCAGAACGGTTGAAAATTTAATAGAGTACTCTCGATACCAAGGTTTGCGCACGGAAGCCCTCTCGCGCGGCTAAGACTCTCTCTCTCTCTCTCTCTCTCTCTCATCTCTCTCTCTCTCTCTCTCTCTCTCTCTCTCTCTCTCTCTCTCTCTCTCTCTCTCTCTCTCTCTCGTACAATCCAGGGTTGGGGACTGGGCAATTAGTTCGGCCCCCGTCATTGCCGTGCGCGCTATCTTCTCGCGTCGGCATGCTTGAACAAAAGACAAAATTAAAAAGTGAATTGCCGAAAACCTTCCGTCTTAACGAACAAACCTTGCCGTGTTAAGACATTGTACTTTTGTTGAGTGAATTCAATCTTGCTTTCCATGTTTGTATTCTTTCCAGTAATGCTTTGGAGATATTTTTCTATTTAATAATTTTTTTGTAATATTAGTTGCATCATGGATAGATATTTATCCCGTATAAATAATGATTTTTTAATAAATAAAAACTGAAGGTAAAACATCAAAGGAATCTCTACTTAAAATATTTTTAAGTAGAGATAATCAAGTTTAGTCAGCCAGGTAATTTATTTCTCAAATAATTTTTAACGACTTTATGAAGTTATCTTCAGCAATATTATTCTTCAAATATATCTCCGCAAAATTTGTTTCATTTAATTAACAACTTATTGTATAAGCCCGCGAAGCATAAAGAAAAAAGGAAACTTTTACGTTTTGCGCTCGCAGCACAGACGGAATTAAATTATTTAAAATGTTCACGGGATTCTTCGCCAAGTGCTCATTGTCAAAAGTTGAGAATTAATATTCCGGCTGTCTGCTCACGCTCTTTCACCCCTCGCGAAATCAAGTCAGCGTGGCTTTGCATGCAAGGGCAGAAAAGTTCTTCGGTCACGCGTTCTTGACTTTTTATTTCCTTTGTTTTCTTTTTCTTATTTGCTACCTTCAGAGACCTTCATAAAAAGCTTCGATTTAATCTCTTAGTTATAAATACTTAACGGATCTTTCATCAAAACAATGGCAACTACGAAATCTCTAAAAAACTTAAAATTGTAAATGTCTGGAAGTTGCTCATTAATTTAAATTATGCAGTTACCATATAGTTATAGAATTTTTTCCATCATATTTATCACACTTGATTCTCGTGTGATCATTTAATCTGGAAAAAATGGTAATAAACAACCGTAGTGTCCAATTTTTAAGAAACTTACAGAATTATTGAAATTATGCAAATTGAAATTCTTAAAACTATAAAAAACTTTCTGAAAATCAGTTATATAGCAAAAAGGGTAATAATTAGATGCAGCTAAATTTTGAAAATTCAAACATTACGATATTTGCAGGTGATTATATCGACGCAAGTCGGTGTAGACGGACCATTGCTAGCAGTATCGGACAACATGTTCGTGCACAACAACAGTAAGCACGGAAGGCGAGCGAAGCGACTGGACCCAAGTGATCCTGGCGAGTACAATAGTAAGTGTCTCGAGGAAAAAAAGAAGAACAAAGCAGAAAAAAAAATTGTTCTCTCAGCCCCATCTTTCTCTCTCGCACGCGGCGAAAAGCGGGCGGAGCGAAGCGCAAGCTCGCGCATACAAACGGCCGGATCGCGCGCGAGACAAGATGTAAATCAATGGGGAAGAGAAAGAGAGAGAGAGAGAGAGAGAGAGAGAGAGAGAGAGAGAGAGAGAAAGAGAAAGGGAGGTCGACTACTACTCGGGTACACCCATTTTCTCGCTCCTTTCTGCCGACTAGAGCAGTTTTCTCCGGCTTTGTCTGTGCTTCTGTAGCACTTTCAGCCTATCCTCCTATTTTTTTCTTGCTTCTCCGGGGCTGGCTTGATGGGTTTTTCGGATACAAAATGGTTTGCTTTGGAATGTGATCTTTTTGGGTGGAGCGAGCGAGAGAAGAAGATTATTATTGACGTCAAGAAGCGTGCTTGCAATCAGTATTGCTTGTGTATGAAAAAATTACAAAATTTAACTTTTTCAAATCTTTTCCCAATTCATTTTTACGAACTAGTCGTTCGGTTTAAGTATATTTGGTTTGAATCCGCTTAAAAATAAAAGCTATTCGTGAAGTTTCAAAATTAACCGATAAAAACGAAAACTAATGAGTTTGAAAACAATTTAAAAAAAACGGTCCGGGAATTGGTTGAGATAGGAGGAAACTACTTACAAGCTCACGAGGCTGCCATAATTCTTACACCCCACGAAAATCACGTCTCCTAAAATACAACGGCCTCTTTCTCACACGCACACGGGTACACACGAAGAAGCCATCGTGCGCGGAAGGAAGGAAGGAAGTCATCGGGGCGCCTGCGAAGAGTCAGCCCCTCCTCTAATTCTGTTTATAGCCTAAAAGAGAGAAGGAAAGCTAGAGCAATTTAATTGTAAAGCGAGCGGGAGGAGTCATGACCCGTGACGGGGCTTTTAACGAGTTTTGAATCGATCCAAAGGGCAAAAATCAGCTTTTTTCTACGCGGAAATCCCCCAAAGGAGGTTAGATTTTCGGCAGAAAAATCTGCTGATTCGCTGCGACTACAGGTTCAGACATCCCTAAATTTTCTCGAAATTTGTTGACTTACCTCAAAGATTTTCTCCTTATTTGCCAGCCATCAGATGCTACTTTGTCGGCTCTAATTAAGTCTCGCACTACTTGCGATTGCCTTATCGCTCGTATACCGTTTAATACTCAAACACTTTCCGCTGATAATCCCATAAATCCAAATAATCTTAATCGCATACGCAAACAACGAAAAAGAAAAAAGGCAAATCTCGCAAGCGCAGCTTAAAGCGACAAACGCTTGTCGCGCGTGCGGCAGTTTGTTAAAGCGAGCGCGCGCCGAAGATTTATTATATTCGCGGAACATTTGCGACTCGACTACCTTTTCCCCTCTACTCCATCCCTCAACGATGTACCTCTCGTTTTATTTCCTCTCTCTCTCTCTCTCTCTCTCTCTCCCAACTCTCGTTCCCCTTCCCTGATTATTATTCTCTTTCTTTGTTTCGTTTAATTTTTTTCTGCCAGTCGATTTGAAAGTTCATGCGCGCGATCCTCGCACCTTCACCGATATCATTGGATCGTAAATTACGTTTCGCGTTTCGCGGAGACACCACCACCACCGCGACCGCCACTCTACTCGACTCTGCGGGTAATATATGTGTCTGACAGACGGCCTCGAGACCTCGAATAAACAGAATACTCCTGATAATTTTGCAGGCGCGCAACACGCGGCTAGGATACGTTTCGAAATAGGCGCAGATAATGCGTTGTCCCAGGAAAGAACGTCGATACCGATACCTCGACGATACAGGCAAAATTGTCGCATTAATTTGCTATTACAATAATTGCTTTGTTTATTTTTAGATCTGTATCCACCATTACAAATGGCAACGCCCTGCATTAAAGCGATATCGCCGAGCGAAGGCTGGACCACGGGCGGCTCAACCGTGATAATCATCGGCGATAATTTTTTCGACGGGTTACAGGTTGTTTTCGGAACAATGCTGGTTTGGAGTGAGGTAAGAATCTGTCCTTACTCTTTCCCTTGTCCCACTCCAATAGAGCAAAGACCAAGATCTTTCGTACTTTCAATCGCAGTTGATAACACCACATGCAATCAGAGTACAAACGCCGCCACGGCAGATTCCTGGCGTCGTCGAGGTGATACTGTCATATAAGGGCAAACAATTCTGCAAAGGTTCGCCAGGTCGATTCGTCTACGCTTGTGAGTTGCAATCGCCCTGCTTTGTGCTTGACAAACATTTGATCCAAACATTTCTAAAGCTTGACATTGAAGCTTATGTTTCCCATTCAGCTCTGAGCGAACCAACGCTCGCTTATGGCTTCGAAAGGCTTCAGAAGCTTATACCAAGACATCCGGGCGATCCCGATAAATTGCCCAAGGAAATAGTACTGAAGAGAGCTGCCGATCTAGCTGAAGTGCTATACAGTTCGCAACGAGCGACGAATGCTATAGCATCTTCGGCGCCTAGAAGTCCAGGTTCGAGTACTCACGCGGCTGCTCCGCCACCAACATCTACTGCTACAACGGGCTTCAATTCGTATACTGGCCAATTGGCGGTTACTGTGCAAGAAAATGGAGCGTCGTCGAAATGGACAGATGGTCATAATTTTTTTACCGACTATTATGTTACGTATGAGAAGATGCACTGTTTATTGAGTAAAAATTTCATTTCGCAGATGGAACATCGGTAACTACGGGCACAGCAAGCGGTACTACCAGTGCCAGCAATAACGGAGCGAACAGCAGCAACGGTAGCGCGAACGCCAGCGACGCTTATCGACAAAGCAGCAGTGCAAGTCCACGTGGCCACGTGTCCAGTGGAGGTGGAGCTGGCTATTGTGGTAGCTCCGCAAGTACACCCCACAGCCACAGTACTAGTGGTAGTTATTCTGTGGCCAATCCTTACGCTGGCAGTCCGACTTTGTACACGTCTCGTAAGTCTATCACACTTAACGTATATTTGTTCTTTTTTTATTCGCTCAATTTTATTCAAAGACATGTGCACAAAGGCTTGCTCCTTGTTATTTTGTTCGCTGGGCTGTTTATTGTTGCCGATGTATTTATGTTGTTCGTTATTGTTTGTAATCAGTTTTTCATGCAAAAAGTTTTATTATTTTTGGCACTCAAATGCTACGATTACAAACAGTCAAATCACTCGATATTTTGAGAGATGAGGAAAAATCAATTACGTTAATTATATTAACGACATGTAACTCTTGATATTATAAGGATCGGAGAAATGACTTGTGCCAAACATACACATCATAATTCTTTATTCATATACTTGTGTTTGCAAAGACGAAAGAGTCAATTCTATGTAACATTTATTAACAAATCAAGGGCTAATTTAGATAATATCACTGATGAAATGCCCACAAACAGTCTAGATAAAAAATACATCAACAAATAACGAGCATAATCAACTTCATATAGTTATACTCTCAAAACCAAATGATCTCATCTCGGTAATAGTAATAGCAGCGCTGGCCGCGTGTCTCGAACTTAACAAATCTAAAAAGAAGCAAAAAAAAAAAATGCACACTGTGTTTTCTCGTTTTAGCGCACGAACAGTACGGCATTTTCTATTCTTCCGGGGACAGCAGCGCTTTCGCCCCCGTAGTCCGACCACCGACCACCTCAGTCCCACCGCACTGGTCCACCCAGCACCACTTGGCCACGGCCGCTCAATAATCTCTTTCTCTCTCACACTTAAAAAAATTATTAAAAAATAAAAAAACTAAACACCGTACACACGCACAATGATCTCTTCTCTGCACTCAGCGTTCATGTGTATGTACTCGATTTTATTCTTTATTATTGCATGCTATTTATCGCTTCGATGTAATTTCGCTTCTGACATATAACTGTCAACACATATAAACGAGAGGCGAGACACACAATTAAAGTGAACCGACACAGTGGGTATGTTGCAGGGTTAGGTGAAGTTGGAACTTTCAACCCATTCGTATTGCCAACCTGTGGACATCAAGGCTATGGAAGTACGTCGACTGCTGGAAGCCCCTTGATATCCAGCGGCAAATAGGGACGGAGGCGTACCAAGTGCGCCGCGTAGATCACACACCAAGCAACCAGTGCGACTGTCATTTTTACTCGAGCGGCTTAGGATACTTAAAAAACAGAAAACAAACTTTATACATATCTATTAATCCGAGAGATTATTTAAGTCATTATCTCTTTCTTTTTTCTTTTTTCTCTTCCAATATAGTGTTTCCGTGAGTGTTTCGTATTATATTTCAGAATCACATCGAGAATAATTTTGCTATATCATTGAAATAATGATCAACTCGCAAATGCTATCTCCAGAGTATTAATGGGAAATTGGAATTTTTCACAGTGTTATTTGAGCATTACTACAGTGCTCGTAGCAACGAAACATTTTTTCTTTGAGCGATAAAAACTAAAATTCAAAACGGTATCTCGTACAGCATGAAAGTTGAATTACAGGAGTGGAGAAAAAGACATTTTTTTAGAACAAGGCACAAAAGACAGTATGAATCCAACTCGCGAGACGTGCATTAACAAGCTCTCCCGTCGTCCGAGAAAAGAGAGCAAGTATACGGTATCAGTTTGAATTCAGAAGCAAGATACGAGAGCTATGCATAACGGCGTCTCTGAATTTTTCATAAACTCGTCGTCGTCGTTGACGACGACCTGAAGAGATGCCACCGGACAGACATATCGCTTATCAATGACTAACAGACATACACTCACACAAGCATATACACATAATCCGTAGTTTATATCAACGCACTCACACCTTTTCAACTCTCGGCCGATTAATCTCTCGTAGTAAGTTTATAAGTAACGTGCGTATACATATTATATATAAAGTGTAAATTATCAATTTGTAAATAGTGTTGCGATGTACAAACCAAATCGTATTGTGACGAAACGTATCTATTTGTAAGTTAAACTCCCCTACACTTTTCAGCGAAGGAATCTATAAGTACGAGTGTAGAGTTATCGTTAATTATCTATACATAGATGTACATAATATTGTAGAGCGTATCTCGTAGCTTATCTTTCCAGCGAGAAAATTTTGCATGATTCGTAATGTTTCTTTGCTATACTTAAAAACAATAAGAAACATTGAATCAGGTAGAATTTCAGTATTGTATAGAAAAAACAAACAAAAAGGTACATATAAACTAAACTGCAGATTGTTTGATAAATTGGTCCAAACATGTCTTATACAACTCATGAAAGTATACGAAAGAGGAACAAATAGTAGTGAATTTTAAGTGACTTTGTAAAGAAAAAAAATAAAAACTTAAAACTACGCAAGCACATAAAAATAAAAGAACCGCGGAGACTGTTAGTTATTGTCATTTCATTTTCATGGCGATACAAGATATACATATATGAGTTTTAAGTGTAAGCTGTGAACATTTTGTAATGATTTGTTTTTCTTTTATTTCACTTTTTTAGCAATCGCCGACTTGTTGAGTTTTGTATTTAAGTTTCTTTTTATATAAATGATTATTACACTTATTATTCGTCACAGATTTAAACATAATGCAGGCATGTAAGTCCAATCTCCGAATATAAGAAATAATGAAAAAAATACAATGAAAAAAAGAATCTTGTTGATGTATATTAATATAAAAGAACATTTTTTGGGAATTAAACATTTTGAATTCATCAAAAAAGTGTGGTTTGATTGGAAAACAAATATATTTTTCCACTCGTTGTTTATCCAACATCCCTAATCCTCGATGCTTCTTCCAATCTCAGCCCCTCTCCCCCTATAAAAACCATCAACTAATCGATTCCTAAAAAGTACAAACACTCACGCATCCTATCCTCATTGTCGTCGCCGTCGATTGTGCGAATAGCGAAACAGGATACCAACGCGGTCGAGGGCCACTTCAGAGCGATTAGTTCACATGGTGTCCCGTTACCCGAAGAGCTACCTACCGTGGTGTACTGTAGGGGGCTGTTTGCGTTATTAGATTTAGATTGGCCAGCGCACGTGGCGCACGTGCGCGCGCATTCGCTGAAATTACTTGGGCGCGTGCGCGCGCTTATTTTTCTTCATTTTTTTTTACTTTGCTTATGGCCTAGAAGCCTTTGTACGAGAGTGGGAAACTACCGATTGTATTAATTTCTAATTGCACTGCCGAACGTTCGTAATACTAGGTTCGGTGGCTGTTGCATTGTGAGCTTCGTTTGATGAAAACAAGGGTGGGAAATTGAATGGATTGTTGTCGTGGTTGCAGATCTATCGATTTCTACGATTAACCGTTTATACAATAATAAAATTCTTTTAAATCGATCAAAAATGCAAAATATTAATATTGCTGTCAATTTCCTACGAGCTGAACGACGTACGGTGCTGTTTTCACGAGTAAAAAGAGTCATGAATTTTTTTTGGCGTATCTTAGTTAGCTACCTACATGTATCTCAAAAATTCATTGACATAGACCTGCAATTGAACGATTCCACATTACAAAAGCATTAATTTTGTCTGGATTTCATCATGGAAATACCAGAGGTACAATTACAAACAAAAAAATTACTAAAATATACAAGAAAAACAGACATCACAAAAAAAAGAAGATTTTAAAAGCTTTTCATTAATTTATATAAAGTACAATATTAAAATAATTCTTCTAATGAAAATCAGTACGTTTAGATCTTAAAATAAAAAGAAATTGACATGCTAAACGTAAAAACAAACAAGAACGGTCAAAAAGAAAATTTTTTGAAGAATCACCCTCTCAAGGTTTTCTCGTGAAGGAAGCAAAATAAAATTATCCATTATGTCAATAACTTACTTCCACATCGAGGGAAAAAAAGACTTCCGATCGAAATATTTTCCTATCCCCTTTCAGAAACTTTGAGCCCCCATCAAGCCACTAATCCGCCATGACCAATCTGCTTATTTTTTAGACCCGTAGCAAGAACTGCTTTTATGTGACCCCATAAGCTTGCTCTCGCTGGTTATATGAAGATAAAGTCTTTTGGAGTAAGAGAGTTCATCAAATGGATAACACAAATGTTAGACTCTTCAATATTTAAATTTGGTGCGATGACATTAAAATTGCTGGCCCCTGTTATTTTAGGCTTTCGTGAAATGTGTACTTTTCCAATTTGAATGTTAAGCTCAACTAAAGTAATTATATGATTCTCTTATCTTTATGGTATTCAAATTCGCATGAAGTAATCATATATGTTATTATGTGCCAAATTGTATGGCAATAAAAAATATTTTATTTTTTAACGATCGTGTAAACGTATAAACTAATTTTTTTCATAACAATCTAAATAATCCATGAAAATTAAGTAAATAACGATTTCAAATATAAATTTTACTTGTAGACAGAAAAATCAACTCTGCAGATCTATCAGAAGCCATAAGACACAAGTCGTTGCCTCGTCAACAACCATAACAAGCAACTAATCTCTACGGGGCGCATCATCCCTTTCTCTCTCTCTCTCTCTCTCTCTCTCTCTCTCTCTCTCTCTCTCTCTCTCTCATCAGCAACAGCTACAAGAGAGAAAAAACGCGCAATAAAAGCCTTGGGAGGTCGGTGAGAGAGAAAGAGAAAAAGAAGAGATAGGGGTCTGTCAGATCGAGTTCGGAACTGGCCGGATTGCGATATGAGCAACTGACAGGCGCGATAAGATCTGTCGCTGCGAGAAAAGACCACCCCTTGCGTTATAGACGTCCACCGCGCGTGGGACTGCTTATTGTGCCTATTACCATCTGCTGATTGCCGGTGATCTCCATTCGGAGATATAAGGTTACACGTTTACACAATGCTGCAGCTTTGTGCCAGCGAAATGCGCAATTTTATTTCAGGGGGATGGGATGTGTGTTGGCAGTAAATGAATGTTTTGCTTGAGCGCGGCGCGCTTTGTGTTCTGACCACGGACGATGCGGGTTATTAGTTTCTGACGTTCATTGAGCGAGTCATTATGGTTGCAGATTAAAGTTTTAGCTTGCGATTTTTAATGTTCACAAGATATAAAATTACTCGTAAAACAAATATTTAATGTTCTAAATAAGGTCCTGTGTGCAGGTTTGAATATTTTCTTTTTAAATACTTCAGATTATCATCATTATTTGACAATAACATAATATTTTATCGAAAACAATGAGGTAAAATTTTAAGACTTTTAGATTCGATTATAAAATAAATTTTTAAAAAATATCACGTGGAAAATCAAGGGAAACTTAAACAGTTTAAAATATATATAAATTATATATAACTTTTAACGAATAACCTATTGTCAAATATACTATTAGTTTTAATAGTATTACGAAGCATTATTTCTTCTTAAAAAATATATACGTCAGTTTTTAGCTTCAAACAAGAAATTTTTATCTACAGATAATTTATAAAAATTAAAGGGAGTGAATGTTTACTATAAATTGTATTAATACGTTATAGGAACCAAATTTATTTAGAATCGATAAAAGCAGAAAAATAGATACCGTAAAATATGTACCCTGAAATTGTGTGATTGAGCGAAAAATATACTTATAACTTCAAAAAAATAATAAAATAGAAAAAAATTAAATTTTCAAGTTTTTTTTCATCTCAATAATTGAATAGTTTGAAGATTCTAATTCATGGCTAATATAAGAATTTACGTGCGCATCTAAAGTACTTAAAATTATTCTTTCTAACGTCAAAATTCAACTTTATTTATTTCAAAACTGCTGATTCTATATACAAATCTTTTTATAAAATAAACATAAACTATTAAACTACGCTCATAAGCGAGTTAAATTAAAGATTTAATAATTCCTTTTATATTTCATTAATTGCGGAACGGAATTAAAACTCAATTTGAACGCTCTTATCAGTTTTGAAGATGATATACCAAGCTGTTAATCGATCAGACGTTATAAAGGGTAAAATATTATTTAAAAGTTGTATCGATTTTTTTAAATACGACCATGAGAACCTCGATTATCGATAATAAAGGGAATGTTAACGTTTTCTGCACTAACAGAGCGATTGCGTACTATACTGCGTTTCTGACTAGAGTGCCATGACATCCAACTAGATGTCGCACAGTTCGTGTGAAAATAGTGCAGCATGAAGACTTACGTCAATGGCTTTGCACTGTTGTTCCAGCGTGGATTTTCTCGGAAAGTACGTATTATATTCTTTCAGATAACTACTATTAAATTTCAAAGACATTCTCCTTTATACAATTTTACGTAAAAATACATTCTCTCTTATTTATTCATGGTATCGGAAAATTAATGTGTTCTGTATTATGCCATGAACTATCAAGTAGACAAGACGGAATGAACCATGATGAACAAGATATTTCTCTATGATTGATAATGTCCGCACACTGCGTACACTTAACTTTTAAAAATGATCATAGCCTAGACTTTATTTAAAACTTCAATTAAATCACAAAATTTGATCTAAAAATGTATTCGATCATGAAAATAGAATATGAAATTTTTTTACGTTAAAATGTATGTCGAACAATCAATTTTTTTTACTTTTGATGTAATTAATACATTTTTATATATTTGTATCAGCTCTATATTTACAATAATATGAAAAAAATGTTTATTGTTTGAATGGTTTTATACGAAAGCCGTGAAAGTTTATAAACTTTTGGCGCTTCTTTGCTAACTTAGTAAGTCTGCCGGAAAATCGATACATTTTTTACTTTTCGATTGTTACTGTTCAGCCCTTAATTTTCGAATTTTTCGGTAATTCAAAAATTTTGCCAGGTGTGGGATTCGAACCCACGCTCCCAGAGGGAACAGGTGCTTAAAACCCGCGCCTTAGACCGCTCGGCCAACCTGGCTTCAAGGATTTGCGAAAAATATTTGCACGTAAAAGGGTGCATTTAACTATAATATTTTTTAAAATTACATTAAAGAAAAGTATTTCATTGATCTTTTAAGACAAACAATTATTTTTATGCAAAACCAATTAAGAACGTTATGTAATATGAATTTAACATAAGGTTTTGTTAACATTTAAATAATATACAAAATTAAACTTTGTATGGATAAATATAATACTGCTATACACGTTAGTATAGAGTATTTATTATATCTTTAAAAAAGTGCAAATATGCAAAAATTATTAATTTTTCGTTAATTTTCTCGTTGTAAGTTGCTAATACCACGTAATTTGTTACAATAATGGTATATGTCAAGTAGTGTCCTCAGTGGTAAAATTTTAAATCACGCAACAGTGCAGTTTATAAAGATATACTACTAGTCGGTAATTTAGGGATTGCTAATCTACTTATATAAAATCAGGTGTTGTTATAGAAGATTTCTTTGCTTCTCAAATTTCAAACTACAAAATATTAAGATAGTGATGCGTTGTTTAAACAAAGACTTTAAGTGAATCTTGCTTTAACTTTCATCGTCGAATAGCATTTATTCTGGTTTTTACATGTCAAAGATATTTTGTTTGTATTGATCAATGAAATATAATCTGAGTTGAATGCTGAAGGGAGACTATCTTAGAGTGTATGTGTAAAGACAGACAAGTTAGAAAATAAAAAAATATTAATGTAGATGCTTTTAATATGTTGAACGTTAGTTTTACGTATTTATGAAATTGACTAAATAATCTTTTCATGAAAGACAATTTTTATGTCAACAATTTCTACGATAAAGTGTTTGAACGACGTATTTTTATTTTGAAGAAATAAAACAATGATTATTCTATAAGTAAATAATGCTTATAAATTCCGTTGAACAATTATTATTTTATCAGTCTATAAATGTTTTTTTATATTCTATTTATTGTTATGATTATCACGAAAAATCAATAGAATTAGTAATATTTGTTTGACACTCTATTGATGAGTAAAGGAGTGTTTTACCAAATAATTTTCTAAGCTGTACATAAGAATTATTCATTGAATAATTCCTATGTGCCTTATAAAAAATAAAGAAGCTCTCAATTTACAGTTGGTGAACAACAAAGGGTCGTGTAATGAGATTGTGGGTGTCGCGCCTTATGGTACTTTTTACGGGTAGCGTGTCCCGTATGTCGCTATTACATCAAAGTGACCTGTATTAATGCGCTGTTTGATGTCTCTTTGTTCAACGGAATAAATATGTAAAACGATCGAGCGCGCATCTTTTGCTACCGCGTGGGAAGTATAATTTTTCGGCTTCCAGCGTATAAAGATACACACGCCGAAAATTTTAGGTCCTTTTTAATTGAACGACAAAAATGGCAACGCCCACGGATGATGCTCCGTTTAATTAGCCGATTTATCAAGAGTCGTTCACTGCCTGATCCTTTCAAATGAATTTGCGTGCGGGCTTGAGTTTTTTATATATGAATGAAGCAAGTGCTTGTAAACAGTTCGATCAAAGTCTATAAATTAAGAGTGAATGAGGATCAAAAGGGCAAATATTACCAATGGATTCAAAGATTTCAATGGTACATTTATTTTTAACGAAAATATTTGGTTGAAACAAAAACATCGAAAAAAAAACGAGCTACACAAACATTTTCGAAAGCGATTTATAACTTGCAATTTTGTAAACACAAGCTAAGTAATTACACGTATATTCGATCTTTTTCACATTTAAATCTGAGTATGTAGCAAGTTGTTTCAAAGTGTTGTAAAGTGCTGCAAAGTAATAGGATAGTGAAGTGCAACCAAAGTCTAAAGCTAATAGTCAAGGAGAAAAGTCAATAGGTCTTTTTCTCTTTCTCTCTCTTTATGCCTGTCTGAAAAGAACATCAATCTTTTACAAAAAAAGAAGTATGTTAAATAACAACTATAGCCTACTTTTTTTACGAGCGTTCAATTTTCACAAATAAATTGCACATATTCGCATAGAGCGCACACGCGCGAAAGATAGTATAACTGTATTTCTTGCAAATGTTAAACGACATGTCATCTCCTCGTTACAATATTATAAATGCCTCGCCCGAGGAAACGTCAAGGACCACACGTTTCACAAGTGCCACATTTTACAATTCAGGAACGACGACAGTTAAAAGCTTGCGCGAGTCGTGCGTCGTGGAAAAGTCCGTCGTCTCGCGTGACTCTGCGGATTACCTTGCCATTAGCAACCGTTAATTTCCGTATACGCATATATATGTAAACGTGCGTTTATTGCCATGCGCGCGTCTCTATTAAGGATATATTAGCAATTATTGTTGTACGTGCGAAATTCTCAAAAATAATAAATAATTCGCCTCTTGAAAACGCGTGTGCAGTGTTAACAGATCCTTATTAATTTACGACTGATTCTCGTGCTCTCTCTCTCTCTCTCTCTCTCTCTCTCTCTCTCTCTCTCTCTCGTCAGAGAAGTGATTCATTTATATACGCGCGAGTCCCATTACGCGTTTTACGAGTTTCGTACACTATAAAGCTCCTCGTCAAATCTATTTAAGGTAATGAATTTCGTCGGTGAGAGTTAAAGTACATTCGTAATCGACTCCGTTAACCCCGTGGGTTGGGTTATCGCCGCGTTTCTTCGTTAGAATGCAAATCAAATCTCAAGTACATGGGATACAGATAGAAAGTTCGTATTATTTAGAAAGATTTTGAGTGGGTCTTGACCTGCTTTTTTCTTTCTCTCCGCGCATAAATCTCCTACATCGAATGATGTATACGCGAATCAATGCTCGCGTACGTGCTCGAAAGATACTACAGAGTTTTACGACGAGTCATAGAAATGTGGATTAGCGTGGATTAGTGATGTGCTATTGAACTTATTTCGTTTTTCCTTTCGCGCTCGTTTCCAGAGGCAAATTTCATTTTATGAGACTGTAACTGTTAGATACAAGCACCTTTATTTTTTTGAAGCTTTTAAGCTACTGGTTTTTACATGTAAATTATTTTTTTCCTCGCAATGCGAAGCCTTTATTGCAAATGGCTGGATTTCACGTTAATTGTCATCATTAAAAAGCACAGCGATAATACTTATTTTAATGATTATTCCAGTACTGGAATCGCAAAGAATGAGTCAATCTATATCAATAATTTCAAATAACGTAAAAAGACCAAAAAATCGTTATTTATTTGGCCATTTTGTTCAAGAAAATTACTATTATCGCAAGCTTAACCTTCTGCAGTAGTCTTTTAGTAGTGTTCAACTTTAAAACGTCTTCATATACATGTTAGCCCAACATAAAGTAAACTCACACATGGAGTAGCCTCCCGGATCACGGATTTTGTTCAAAATTAGTCAGTGACCTTGTTTTAGACGTATATAAATGAAAGTCACTCGAAGTGTTCTATTCCATTTGTTCCATAATTACCTGGCCTTTTATATGACGTATTGAACGTAAAGTTTCTATTTCAATAAAAATAACTCTTGAACTCTATTGTACTTTTAGGGTACTATCAATAGAAATATTAAGATCAAATGCTTCCGTTTGGAAAAAAAATTATCTAAAATTCCAATTCATTTGAACGTTCTTGTAAGTGTCATTATAAATACTTCCATAATAATTTATCACTTTTATGTTAAAAGTTTAATTTGGCACAACTCATGGATGCGTAGACTGTTCGACCTATATCGCTTTTCATTGTTTACTTTAAATTTACAATAAGCTAAAAATTTCGAGAGTTACGTTGACTCAAAGAGGAACTCTATTTTTCAATACATCAGGCATTAGGCCCGATAACTCTCGAATAAAGGCTCTTGGGACAAAATCCTACAAGAGACTTTGATTTCTATACAAAAGATGGCCGCTGACCAAGTTTGATTAAAATTCATGATCTGAAGGGTGTGGTCTCCCCTTGTCCGTCAACCTCGTACCAAATTTTTCCATCCCCCACCATCTCCCTACGTAACAGTAAAAATCTCTCCCGAAAAAAAAGTACAAACAATCCCATCGTTAATCCATGTTCTCCGCTCTACAATTTGGAGATCGTTATCCTTGTACAAGGAACGCTGTGGGCTAGTCAAGTAATAAACTTTGACCTTGATTTCAATAACAACGCCCAACGACGAGAGTGAAAAAAAGCCACGAAGGAAAAGAAGAACAAACGAGCGTAGGACAATCGAGAAGGGCCTGCGATGTAAAAAAAATACAAAACAGAAAGCAGTAACACATCCGTGTCTCCGTATCTTCGGGAGAGCAGACCACACGCAGCGTTCTTTGCAGTGGCTCCTTTTCGGTGATTTGTAATTATTGCCAAAAGAAGAGAAGAAGGCCCCGCGAATATGTATAGAGGGCTGCGAGCGAGCGAAGCAGTAGCGCTGTCGAGTTTACGATCGCTCGCGGCACGCCGTCCCCGTGCTTCCTGTCTCTCTCTCTCTCTCTCTCTCTCGCTCGCTCTCTCTCATATTTTTATTGCCGTTCGATTTGCTAGATCGATAATTAGGATTAATAAAGCTTCTGATTTACTGGAACGGCTTGCGCAGTCCTCCAATGCTCTCGACTATTGCGACCGTTCATCCTCGGATCGGTGCTTAAATTTAGTTGTATCTTTTTACTGTCTTGTCTTTTCTTTCCAGTGTTAGTTATAGTTATAAGTAATTGAATTCCATTTTTTTTTCTGAATATATTGACAGGATCTGTAATCTTTTATAATTAGTCTCTTTGAGATTTCAATATTTTTTGAATCGTATCTTTTAAACCTAATGATGCTAATTCACCTCTCAATATTATTTCTTGCAGGTAAACTAAGTACGATTATCTAATCCACTATTAGCAGGTGCCATGGAGAAGACACCTTATAAAGTAGAAAAGCTACCTCACCACGAGCAGCAAGAACTCTGCCATACGCGAGCCCCATACCGGCAAGGTCGCAAGCTCACAGCCGTCAAAGTGTACACGATCAACGATGAGTCGCCTCATTTGATCGTCAGCGGTGTACCAACGCCAAACTATACCTCGGAACTCAAGAAAAAGTTCACTCCTTACGGAGAAATCAAGGAATTTCATGTCATCTCTGGTTACGAATGCGAAGCTTTCACCGAAGCTGTTCACGTACATTACGCACGTATCCAAAGTGCCAGAATCGCCAAGAAATTTCTCGATGGATTTAATTTCTTTGGTGGAGTATTACATATTTTCTATGCGCCTGAATTGGAGTCACTTACGGAAACGAGACACAAGTTATTCCACAGAAGGCGGGATATAGCTATAAGAATCAAGAGGCACAAGGAGGACCCAACTAATCCTGAGATTGATCCCTTTCAGCCTGAACTTGAGCTTGATGATAAAATGCCCATCAAGAGAAAAAAGAAACGTGTAGCTGACATTGTACAGGGGAAGTGAATTTTTTACTTTTTTTTGCGATATTACCCTTACGTAAGAATAACCCAATCTAATTTTATGTTTGAATAAAATTTCAATATTTTAATAATACTTCCTTGTTGATTTTACAAGCTAAACTGTCCTCTTAATTCAAGCGAAATAAGAAAGAAACAGTTAAGAAGAAAAATGACCAATGTTTACCGACGCGACCTGCTCGCATCCTTCGATCGCCATATGAGGACGAGAGAAGGAAAGTAACTGAAACTGTATTTATAGCGTTAAAAAGCTCACTGTGACACCCGGAACGAACATTAAACTAAAATCACGCGAAAAGAAAAAATTCTTTTTCTTCAAGCTAATAAAAAAACAAACAAGGCAGCAGCAACGAATACTTAGGAAAAGGCACGAGAGAGGCGTGTGCAGAGATCGAGCAGTTATGGCATTCCGGAAACGTTGGAATGCTGCTGTTGGCGCCGAGCGGCTACCCGCAAATCAATTTGCGCGAACGCGTGGACACTCCTCGCGTTGTTTGCGCAATATATCCCGGTGCATATGAACAAAGAGGGGAAGAGAATCGCCGAATGATTGGTTAAATAATGGGGTCGATGCTACTTGCTCATGACGCTGATGATCGTCATGATTACAAGAACAAATGCTAGATGATGATTGCTCATGTAACTATTGATATTTGAGACAATCGAGGTTATTGCTTGTTTCGTGGGTGGTAAAGGTAGTCGACGGGATGGTCATTGGTTATTTTTATAATTTTTAAATGTTTAGCATTTATTTTCAGGGATATTTCTTTGCAAGGAAAAGTAAATTTTACGCGCTAATATCATTTCTATTTTTAAATATAAATTAAAGCCTCGTTATTAAGGGATTCATACAATCAGCTTTAATTATTTATCCTAGTAACTATTAGAATCGTTACTGGGCCTAACCACTATTATTACGTAAAAATAATTGTACGGTCGTGTAAACTAAAGATCAATTATAGTTTGAAGCATATTTGTCCATTTCTTCTTTCATGTTCTGAATTGCAATCATTTGTCAAATACAAAAATTAAATGCATTATCGAGCAAAGGAACAAAGTTAAATTATAATATTTTTATATTTATGAACTCGCAAGTAAGAGGCTAAGGGCGATGTATGCGCTTAACGATAAATTAATTAAAAGACTGCAATGATGTACATAAATCGCGATGTGACTTTATAATCTGAATAGGATAAATGAATTTAGGCTAGTTTTATAATTCTTTATTTCGTGTTCTTCACGCATATAAATCACCGTCGAAGAAATTTCGAAAGTAAGAAAGAGGAAAGAAGAAAGAAAGAACAAGCGAAACGATATCGCAATGCGACAGGCGAACGAGTCCTTGATAACTGTTGATATCAACGCGTCGGTCACGCGCAAATTACATGGACAGAAAAAGACAAACTGCTATATTTACGTAATATACCCGTCGAACATACAACGACGTTAGATAATGTCAATTTCATTTCTCTCCATATGCTAATGACAATTAACGTAAAATGCGTTTGCCGTTTAAAAGGAAAAAAAGTGGATAATAATACTACGAGGCATTTGGTGCGTGGGATGCAGCAGTCGCGTGGCAGATCAGAGCAGCGCAGCAGCATCGATCGTTCCCCCCTTTGTAGCCCTTCCCCTCTCTTGCTCGCCGAGAAGATCTGATTTCGGCTCTTTTTTTGGGCACGGCTAACGAGATTCACGGCTCGTTTGATATACGGCCATCGTCGTCGCCGTGCGCCGCTCGCGCGGACGGAACCGTTGAGATGCTTCGCGGCGCGACGCAAGCGTCGTTTTTTTCTTTTTTCATACGGAATGCACTTACTCTTCTGAGAGAGTAAGAGAGAGAGAGAGAGAGAGAGAGGGAGGAAGGGAGAGAAAACTGTCTTCTTTTTTCGCTCGTTAGCCTTTATACACGAATCTTCGCCTTCCTTTTTTTTAATTCAGGCATATCAAGTGCGCGATTGAGAGGTGTGACTACTGATATACCCTTCAATTTTTCATTTGATTTCGTCTTTTTCATTTATTAGCTGATTTTACAGTAAAGTTTTCCATTTAATTCCACTGCAATGTCAATTACGCGATATGCCATCGTCTAAATATTAACGAATTGTAGCTTTACTTAAATTTACAATGACTTTTCTTGACTATCCGGAAATTCGATTCGATTATCTTGAAATAATTTTTAGGTAAATTTTGCTTGATCGCATTAAGCATTGTGATTCTGATAACGTCCGCAAAGGTTCTAAATATATGAGCAAGAGTAAAAATAACTATTCGCGCGTATCCTCTCGTTCATACTCTTTTTATTAATAAGAAAAGCAGAATCAAGTTTTTTAACTGAAATAAATATCTTTAGTTTTTAAAGTCTAATCACTTATCATTGAGAATACTCGACATAGCCGGAAAAAATCAACAAAAGTACATTGACGTCATGAGGTAAACCGACAAAACGACATTTCTCCCCCAAAAATCGCAAATTAAGCAGGTTCCAAAAAACAGCCAGATCTGCACGGTCAATAAATAAAAACCTCACCTCAATTAATCAACTCACCTCTATCTTATCCCTTATTCGGTATCCAGCGACCAAACGCGACAATGCTACCTCCGACGCATATAAATCAGGCTACATTTCGGCAACTAGTACCGTGTGGTAGATAAGAGGGTTTGCTTTCTCTCGCTTGCAGGTGCGAGGCTACTATTCACCTGCGACCGTCGACGCCACGCGAGCGTTCGTGATAAGGGAGTTTACCGAGAGGCTATTGACCCTGTGTTAGCTGAATAATAGAGATGGGCAGTGTCTTTTTCTATTTTTCGATCGATATCCGACTAATAAGATTGTTACCGACAACAACCCAATTGCTAGAGGACAGATGGATGGTCAGTCGCGTGCCGTCTGTTTACTCAACAAAGATTCCTTGTTTTATGGAGATTTTTAGATTGACTTTCAAGTTCGGTGATTTTTCTATCAATGCAGAATAATTTTCTATTGATGCGAAGTTGGAAAATTTTGAAAGCTAACTAGACAACTCTAAGCTTTGGAAAAGAACGATCTTTGCCCAACAAATCATCCCGACCAACAAGAATAAAAAAGATAGCTCGTTTTTGTTCCCACGCACATGCATGAATTTATGAAAGCATGTTTGCATATGAGACACTCAGCCAATGACAGCAGTTTCAAGTGTTCCAGATGAAGTGCTCCTGTGTCACCGCTCGTTAATTTCCTACGTTCGCGCGAGCGAGTCAGATAGTCGAGCGGCATGGTTCATCAGAGAACGTCAATGATGCAACTTATAAAGAGTCGAGAAAGAGAGAGGAAGAGAGAGGAAGAGAGAGAAAGAGAGAGAGAGAGAGAGAGAGAACCGGCTGCTTCTCAAATAAGAATTTAACCTAACGAGTGACCAAGACGTAAAGTAGAACTAAAGGTACGATCTAATGTATATACTTCAAGTCTATAGCGTTCGAAAATGTTTTTTCTTCAGTTTTGAAAGAATAAAAAATGAATCGACTTTCTTTATATCTATACGATTGCTGGAATCAGATTTATTTACGTATGAAGCTCCTGATGTATTTTACGTAATTCACAACGTGGTTTGCAATAAGAATTTAAAAACTAGGTATTTAGAATATTGCATAAAAATTGCAATTGGCGCGGAAACAAATAAAAAAGCAGATAAAGTCGTCGATCAAGTGAAATAAAAGCCGCAGGATAGAAGATGGAAAAAGTATAGGATGTTTTCTCTTCGCGTGCATAGTTCGCAACGAATGAAAGAAGCGAGGTCGGACGTAATTGTCTGCCAGGTTTTTCGTCGTCACGCCGCGCCAACTTGTGGCCCACATAAACTCAGTAGAAGTAAGGATCTAATTGTTTCACTAGGACAACTCTTTGCAAACTCGTTATCATCCTTTTCTACATGAATTTATTGCAATTATCCGTTCAACCATGTTTTCCAGAATAAATTTATGCTTATGTAGAGTGTAGTTTATACAGGGTTAAGAAAATGTCATGCTAGCGAGAAAAAACGAGAGAGAGAGAGAGAGAGAGAGAGAGAGAGAGAGAGACTGACCAGAGACTGACTTATTGATATTTTATATTTTATCTGTTACATGTATTTTTAACGCTTGACTACAGATCACCAGACCAATACGCTAATGTTAAATTCAAATTAGCTTTCGGTTCTTATCACAAAAATAAATTTTCTAAAATGGCTTACGAATGTTACTCAAAATACGTATTTACACAAAGCAGATACGTAACGTATTCATTGAATAATCGGTGATATTACATTATATACTTATAATTCTAATAAGTATTTTATTATATACTTAGTGTCGAATGCTTAACTTGATGATTCCTTAATTATATTTTTAAGAGTGATATTCATGCGAGAAAATGTTAAATATTCGTTAATATAATCAATAAAACTAAACTCTTTATTTTATTTCATTTCTGATTTTTTATTAAAATTATATTTATTTTCATAAAAAGTATACTTCATGAAGTTTTTCAAAACGCCGAATTATATTGATGAAATGAGACATTGATTTACTACTCTCATTAATTACGTTAGTAGAATTAAAAATCCATTTAATACAGTCGCGTAATTGAATTTTTTCCTGTTGCAGAGCTTTGGATTCTTATTTATGTAAAAAAGCAAAGTTCTACTAGCGTTTATAAGAGGGTCGAATATTGCCAAAAGAGAATAACGTTATATAAATATTAAATGTTAAGAAGGAACGCAGTTAGCTGATTTTTGCATACATTTAAATTTCTTACTGAATGTCTTTGATTTCGGCCTTGAATCTCCCTAATCCCCCGTCTTTACATATTAAATTATATTTTACATTATAAAGGAAAATTATTCACTGTGATTGTATCAAAATTATTTTACTAGAATCCATATATTATCATTATTATGAATTAACTACAAAATATAATAACTGAAATAGTAAAACAAGAGTAAAAAGTGATCACATTCCTAAAATAGAAAAAACGATGTATAAGAACAGTTATGTTACTATTATTAAAAT